GGCGCCGGCGGACCGGCACGTCGAACAGCCGCCGGGGCCTGGCCGCCTCCTCGTCGGACGCGTCCATGTCCGCGGAGTCGTCGTCCTCCTCTTCCGTGTCCTCCATCTCCTCGTACTCATCGGGACCCAACTCCTTGAAAGAGAAAACAGTCTTTTGATAAGAACTCCCATCAGTTTCTCAGGCTCACTCAACGCAAAGTCTCGTTTATCTAGAACCTGAGCTAGGCCTGTGCCACACGCGCCTCTTTCCAGGCTCGCACGGCGCCTCTTCATAAGGCAGTGCCCATGAGCCTGCAGAATGTATATCCTATTACATGTTTAAAAGCGTCCAATGTGGTTACCATGGTCAATAGATTTCATTCATAGAGTACCTATTTTTTAAGTTATTTTTCTCGGGGGTCAGGAGAGGAGCAGCAGGGACAGGTTCCTGGGAGTACTTACGTTTTACATGGTATTGTTGTTCATATACAGTGTAGCAAACAGACAACTCCTAATAGCTCAAGATAAAATTTTACTGAATTTACATTGTTAGTGGAACAATTCCTTATTAATCTATATGCTTCTGGCAAAGAGGATGTGAAAATATTAACAAGGTATGACCTCTACTGGTAATTTTTATGTACTGCCAATAAGAGGTCTATTTCTATTGAGTTTCTACTATAAAGTCACATCATTTCAATTCAACCACCACTGGTAGTCTCTAATTTTAAATTAACTTCTTGAAGGCTTGCAAAATAGGGCAGTGGTGACATTGACTGTGCAATATCTGAACACCACTTGGAAACTTCCCCTTAAGCAGTGCCTCTAATCAAGCCTTGACTTACTCTGCTGCTAGCATTCTCTCTCTCTCGCACTTTTGAAAACCCAATGAGAGGAGCCACTATATTGGACAGAATTCTGAACAGCAAGGAGAAATGCTGGGAAGCTTGGGATGTGGTGTCAGCAAAAGTCCTTCCACCAAGGCTTTTATGACATTTCATGACCCTGCACCTTCACTACCTTTCTGATCTCATTTCCAACCATTCTCCCCGTTCCCTGCCCTCCAGTACACTGGCTTCCTTGCAGTTCTTCAAACACACAGGCACATCAGTAAGTCAGGGCTTCTGCACTTGCTGTTTTTTAGCTTGGAACACACTTCTCCCATACATCCAAGGGCCCCTTCTACTTCTTTCAAGCCTCAACTCAAATGTCACGGAGGCCCTTCTTGACACATATTTATATTATACAACTCAACAGGACATCCGTTATCCCCTTTACTCTGAGTCTTCTCCAGAGCATATATTTACTACCTGATCTAAGTACTAACTACAATGTACATTCCAAGGTAGAGATTTTAATTATATTGTTCACTGCATTTTCCCCAGCACCTAGTAGGTACTCAATAAATATTTGTTGAGCAAGTACATTCATTGATGTGGGAGAAAGGTATTGTCCTTTAGGATCTGTCAAAGGAACTGTCACTGGGATTTATTATAACAGAAAAAACAATAATCAGAGAAAATATATGTAAATATGATACAAAATATTTCATTATTTTTATCTCTGGATATCTTTTTAAATCTAGGGAATGAACACTTTGAAATTCAATAGCAGGTCCAAAAGCGGGTGGGGGGAATGATTAGAAAATTCTAAAACATTAAATCCAGATAGTATGATTATTAATTATCTTAATGAAGAAGAAAACAGAAACACTGTTAAAGAAATCAATGTGGCTGAAGATGGAGTTTGCTGATGATAAAATGTTCATACACAAACAGCAGATGGAAAGAGGCACACAGACAAGAATGAAAATAAATCAGCAGTGGGTGCCTCTAAAGTGTTTAGAAACAACAAACCAACTAGACCAAGAAAAGGCTTAAGACCAACCAAAAGTATATTTTAAAGTAGCATTCAGAGTATAAAGCGAAAGAAAGAATTAAGCCTCCTAACTAATCAACTATTAGAGGACACAAAAGAAGAACAATTCAATTTCCATATCAAGAAAACTAATATTTGCCGTGGCTGGTGTGGCTCAGTTGGTTGGATGTCATCCTGTGCCCCAAAAGGTCGCCAATTCGATTACTGGTCAGGGTACATGCCCGAGTTTCGGGCCCAATCCCCATTAGGGGGCCTGCAGGAGGCAGCAGATTGATGTTTCTCTCTCCTCCCCCCTCCCTTCCTTTCTCTCTGAAAAATAAAAAATATTTTTAAAAAACCCCAAACTAATATTTAAACAGGAAAGGTAAACACAAGTACCACACAGTACAAATACAATCCCCACTGCCTCTTCATGTTGATTAGAAATAAGTCCAGAATTCTCATTTATTTTTATTGATTTCTCATCCCTGATAGAGAAAAAACATTTTCCATAAGGCAGGTAAAGATTTTATACTATTATTTGTGGTTGGGAAGACACTAAAACTCTAAATAAGTAAGAACATAGTTAAGAGAGGGTTGAACATGTAATGAGTTTATTATTGTAATTTTAAATTATAAATTTAAAATTTTTAAACTTTAAAAAAGGAATAAGTAAATATAAAACTTCTCGGTTTTAATTTCTAACATGATAAATATCAATATAACCCACATAAGCAAGAGTTCTTTGGAGTCCTCATAACTTTCTTTTAATTATGGTTGACATACAATATTGTATTAGCTTCAGGTGTACAACAATGTGATTAAACATATATATATACATTCCAAAATGATCACCACAATAAGTCTAGTAACCATTTGTCACCATACATAGTTATTACAATATCACCGACTCTGTTCCCTAGGCTGTATGTTACCTCCCTGTGACTGACTCCGTAACTGGCAGCTGGTACTTCCTAATCCCTTCCCCCTTTTTGCTCATTCTCCCACCTCTCTGGCCACCATCAGTTTGTTCTCTGTACCTATAAGTTTGTGTTTTGTTTTGTTTTTAGATTCCACATGTAAGTGAAATGAAATGGCATTTGTCTTTCTCTGTCCAACTTATTTCACTTAGCATAATACCCTCTAGGTCTACTATTCACGTTGTTGCAAATGGCAAGATTTCATTCTTTTTTTTTATTTTTATTGCCGAGTAATAGTCCATTTTATATATAATGGTATAGCTTGCCTAGTGTAAATTAATGCTGCAATGAGCAGAGGGGTGCATATATTTTTTTGAATAAGTGTTTTTTATTTCTTTTGATAAATACCCAAAGGTGAAATTGCTGGGTCATATGGTACAGTTCTATTTTTAATTTTTTGAGGAATCTCAATAACTTTTCAGAGCTTAAGAGGGTCATGAGACTGAAAAGTTTGAAGTGACAGTCCTTAAGTAAAGGCTACTTTATACCCACCCTAACAAACATTAGAAACAAGTCTCAACAGGATCAAGCAGACCCAATACTAACTGCCTGCCCCAATAAATCTCAACACTCTACACTTTATGTCAGGAATAGTAGGAACTTTAGGACAAGGAATATTGTCAGAGATAGAGAGATTTCATAACAATAAAATAAGCACTTCATTAAAAAGACAGAACAATCCTAAGTATATTTGCACATAATTATAGAGCTTCAAAATACATGAAGCAAATCTGATAAAATTAAAGAGAAATAGACAAAACTGTAATTATAACTGGAGATTACAACAACCATCTCTCATAGAACAAAGACAAAAAAAATCAGTAAATATATAAAAGACTTGAAAAACAATCAACCAGTTTGACCTGTCATTTATAGAATAATATTCCCCAAAATAACAGAATATACATTCTTTTCGAATACACAAGTATTTACCAAGATAGACCATAATTCTGGGCCATAAAACATTTAAAAGGACTGAAATTATATACAGTGAGTTCTCTAAAACTAACAAAATTAGAAATCAATAACCAAGATAACTGGAAAATCTCCAAATGTTTGGAAATTAACACATTTCTAAAAAGGTCATAGGTCAAAATTAAATTACAAGTAAAAATCTGAGAATATTTTAAACCAAATGTTAATGAAAACATAACACATCAGAATTTATGAAATGTAGCTAAAACAGTGCTTACAGAGAAGGTCTAAAATCAATAATCTAAACTTCTACCTTAAGAAGCTAGAAAAAAAAGTAAATTAAACCCAAAGTAGGAGGAGAGAAATAAAGATAATTGCAAAAATCAATGAAATAGAAATGAGCAAACAATAGAGACATAAAGCCTTAAAATCTGGAGTGGGGAACCTTTTTTCTGCCAAGGGCCATCTGGATATTTATAACATCTTTCGAGGGCCATACAAAATTATCAACTTAAAAATTAGCTACGAAAAAAGCTCCTAGATTTATTGAATTTCAAGTCCCGCCTATGGTTGCTTTGGCAGGGCCAGACCAAATGATTTTGCATGGCCCATGGGTCGAACATTACCCATTCCTGCTTTAAATGATCAATAAAAGTGATAACCCCCTAGGCTAAACTGATGAACTAAAGAGAAGATATAAATTACCAATAGGAAGAACAAAAGAGAACATATGACTATAGCTCTTGCAGCCATTAAAAGGATTATCAAAGGAATATTATGAATAACTTTATGGCAATAAATTCAACATTTAGACAAAATGGACAAATTCCTTAAATGACACAAGTTAGCAAAAGTGAAAGAAGAAACATAAAATATGAGTATTAAAGAAATTCATATTTCAAAACTTTTCCAAAAAGAAAATTCCAGCCCCAGATGACTTCACTGATAAATCGTATGAAACATTTAAGGATAAGGTAATGCCAATCTCATACAGAATTTGGGCTAGTCAAAAATGGAAGACTGCCAATAGGAAGCAGCAAATTGCCAATACTGGAAATTAACAGGAGAAAGCATTCCTCCACTGGGAGGAAAGCTAAACTTCACTTCCAAACCCAGTCTGTAGACTGTCTTCACCAGACAGTGGCCTAACGTCCCATCACCATCTTTCCCTCTACAAATCGGGAGCTGTGAATGTGTCAACTCTGGGTCAGATTCGTATCAGATTCATCTTCCCAGACTTTAGAGCCACCCCTTAGGGTCATCCCAGGAGCCAGAGGGTTTTCTGTGAACATTTGATGTCTACAACTCAATTATATTCTGGGTATACAATTCACATATTATTCCTATTGTATAACTAGAACTTCATAATTTTCTATAATCATTTTATAGCTCATAAGATAGGGGTTACTGCTATACCAGCCATAAGGTAACCCTAAAAATGAGATTTAAAAAATATACCTGATTAGGAAATGATCCCAGAGAGAGAGACTACTAAAAGTACAAGTCTACCCATTAAATCCTCTTTGTAATAATTTCTATAGGATATTTGTATTATTTCACAAAACTGGGCGTTTTAGCAAAAACACTGTAAGAAATTGTTTTCCCAGTCTTAATGGAATAAAATAAAGCAGATACTAACTGATCTAGTGTGGTTTCTCATTAGGCGACAGACGTATTTGTGGAAACAGTGGAAAAGAGGCTGAACCTTTAAAGTGAGTGAGTACTCTATATAATACTAATGGTAGACACGTCATCATTATATATCTGTCCAAACCCACAGAATATACAACACCAAGAGTGAACCCTAATGTAACTTATGGACTTCGGGTGATGATGTGTCCGTGTAGGCCCCATGGTTGTAGCAATGGGACCACTCCGCTGGGAGATACTGTGTGGGGGCAGGGGTATATGGGAAATTTCTGTACTTTCTGCTCAACTTTTCTGTGAATCTAAAACTGCTCTAAAAAATAAAGCTATTAAAAACAAACTAACAAACAAGAAAAACAAAACAGATAACAGCAGTTACTCTGATTAGAGCATGGAGCCCACCTAACTTATCGCCCACCTCCCCCAACATAGCACACGTCCCGTACCACCCCAAGGGACTTCCCTCAAAATTTCAAGGGTTCTCTGGAACACGATTCTTAAACTATTTGTCTGGCTAATCAACAAAGACCCTCTGTGGAGTCAATTCTAAAAAGTTATGTAAATCAGCACCAGAGGAAAATTTAACCTACCAATCGAGCTATAGACACCCTGAATGTCGGACATGCCATATGGAATCGGGGAATGGCGACATTAAAGATCTTGTCTTTAAAGTAAAGAAAGTGGAAGGTATAATAGCCTTCCATATATCCCGATGTTGTCGAGAATGTGGTACAACTTGTGTATTCATATACCCGACCAGGGCTGATGATTGGAAATTCACCTGCGGAGAAAATAGTAACAGTAAATTAAAGTACAAAATTCAGTTCTCCATCACAGCAAATTAGATATGTCCTCTATGGGATTATATTAACTATGTCAAAGTAAATGCACAATCAGAAACAAAATCTAAAAGGAAATATAACAAAATGTTAATAGTGATGGGATTATGAATGAGTATTTTAACTTTTTAAATAATCACTCTAATTCTCTATAGTTTGTGTGGGAGTGGGGTGGGATATCTAGTAGAATAAAACAAAATAAAAAAGTAATATTTTCTTTTTCAAAATGCTTTGAGGCATTTTAGACACCACCTTTAAGACATGGGTAATAAGTGCCATAGACACTAGTTTAAACAGTGATAAGGGTAATCTAAATGTTTAAAAGAAGCAAGATACTAAAACATAAAATTCTGAGGATGCAGCTTAAGCATTTAGCCCAGACAAAATGGCAGTTATCACAAGGGAGAGTTCTTACTCCGATGGACCAAATGACTGAAAAGGAATTACAGCTTTAATAAAATTGTTTAGCACAAGATCCCCAAATAAATTCAGGAGAAATTCCTTAAGTAAACATGTAGAATATGACTTTATCTGTGACAATAAATTAGAGCAACTTTAAGCTGAATTTCTGTATATGCTTAGGACTGATAACAGAAGTGCATAGCTTAAATGTTATTTTTCTGAAGCACAAACACAAAATCTGATGAATCTGAGGGTTCAGAAATTTAAGACAATTATAATTTTTTTAAAAAGCTGAATGTCAATGGAAATCAAGCTAGAGATGATTGAAATCCACAAACAACAAAAATCTGTTATTAATTTTAACATTTATCCCCAACTTTCAAAAAAATGACATATATAAAATTTACTTTCTCTTTCTGCCCTATGCCTACAGAATATGATAATGAATAATTATTCAGC